CACACACACACACACACAATCCTCTCCTGTCCTTCCTCCTCAGTGTAAGCAGTGGCTGCCCCAGCCCGCTGTTTCCGGCTTCTCCGTCTACCCAGGTTCCTCCCTGGAGCTCTGACGACACAGAGAAGAGAAAGTAGGCTGGAGGAGGAAGAGGAAGAAAGTGGGGTGAGCTTGTGTGCCTGGTTGGGGGAGCCAGGACTGGGGCTCAGTGTCCTGGGGCTGGGCTGTAGGAGAGGCTGATCCCCACTTACCCCGTTTCCTCAAAAGCAATAAACATTCCTCCAGAAAGTGACCTAATATCAAACAGAGACATGCGGCCCCAAACTGCCTCATCCATACTCATGCAGGGGCCCAGGGGTTTGGGTTCACAAGGTACTGGGCTCTCCCAGGGCCTCTGGAAAAGCAAATCCCTCTGGACTCTGCACTCCTTCCAGTGGAGGACCCTGAAAAGCAGCCGGGGAGCTCTGCCGCCGTCTGGAAAGCCTATGTCCGTTCCCCCCCCACCCCCCGCCAGCTTCCTCCCCCCCCTTTCTTGTCTGGGAAAAGCCTTGGTAGTCACATGACCACTGAAGGGGGAGCAAGCTTCGAATTCTGGAAGACTCCAAGGGTGTCTCGGACTGACAATCTCTGCCCCCTCCTCACAGGGTGCTACTCCTCAGACCCTGACCTGAGTGGGCAACAAGCTGGAGTTGCTGCCTGCAGATTCCCAAACGACAAGTTGGAATATGAATCTGGTGAAGTTCCTGTTTCTGGAGTAAACACTGAGACACACCCAGAAACAAACATACATGCACAACTTCCCTGGCCACAAGACCACATGTGTGCGCAAGCGCGCGCGCGCACACACACACACACACACACACACATGCTTACACATATGCAGGCTCATAGACGTGTCAGCACTCAGCCACAAGGAGACACAACACTCACATACACAAGGCTGCTCAGCTTCTGAGTCATAACTAGTGGATGGTATCTGCAACTTTTTCTGGAGGAGGAGCTGGAGGAGGCCAAGGGACCCCCAGAGGGCTTTACATTCCCAAACCTGAGAGACATAGTGTTCAGAAAGGGTGGGCTCTTGGGGAACTTGGGAGGTGGGAAGAAGTTTCTACTCTCCTCCTCTCTCCCCAAACAGGGCTGGGCTGAGGGGCAAAGCTAGGCCTATGCTGCCCCCTGGTGCCTGAACTGATTCCCAGAACCCAGCCCCTTCCTGTCCCATCCCATGCGAGGCACATGTGTGTCCAATAGTGCACAAGTCAGGCAATGGGGTACTAGTTAAGAACTAGGACTCTAGAGACAGGCTGCTAGGGTTCAAATCCTGCCAACACTGTTAACTGCATAAATCTGGGCAATTTACTCTTTGTGCTTCAGTTCTGTCATCTGTAAAATGGAACAAATAATAGCCTTAACTCATAAAGTTGTGAGAGTGTGATAATGTGAGAATACATGTGAAAACTTAGAACAGTGTCTGGCAATAGTAAATGCTTGGCACTATTTTTATGGCCCAGAATAAACTAGACATGAGGAAGGCAGGAGGGCCTCCATCCTACATAGGGGTCCCTGGGTTTGGGGGTAATATTAGCTCCACAAAGACAGAGCCTATTGGAGGTATGTGTGTTTATGTGTTTATTGTCTCTGGAAGGAAGTGAAGTGAAGAGGAGGGAGAGCAGAGCCACGGAGAAATCTGTCCTAGGATTGCTCTGTGTGCACATAGGCACTCACAGAACACACATTTCGTATGTGCATCACTTTGCCTGCAGACAACCATAGACAGTGGCTGAATTCAGGCTTCATCATCTAAGGGTCTCAGAAGGTCCAAGTTCTCCTGAACTTTAGCAAGAGGAGAAGAGGAGTGAATTCAGTCTCCAACTTTGCCTCCTTTGAGGAGGTAGGAAGATGAAGACCAAATATTGGTGAAAAAACAATATTTATTGTCATCCTCTCTAACTAAAAGCACTAGTGGGGACACCGTGACATAATAGAAAGAACTCAGAATTCAGAGGCAAATCTAACTTAAGTTTGACTCCACTTTGTGTCAACTACTCAAATGGGGGGCCTAGGCTAAGGTGAGGTGTTTAAGGTACAAAATTTAAGGAGGCACTCATCCTCAGATTGTGCAATTGCATAGTTGGTTAGACTTACAGTAATGACACCCCCACTTGCACAACCTTGAGAATGAGTATCTTACTTGCCTCACCCTCCTCTGGGTTTTACCATCCCACTAAGTGGCTAATATGATTGTATGAGAAAAAGCATAGGAAAAAAGAACTTTGGGGTCTTGAACTGCAGGTTGCAACCCAACTGAATCACAAAATCAATCTGGTGAGTGTATTAGTTTGCTAGGGTTGACATAACAGAGCACCACAAGCTGGGTGGCTTAAACAACAGAAATTTATTGTCTCACAGTACTAGAGGCTAGAAGTCCAAGATCAAGGTGTTAGCTGAGTTGGCCCCTTCTGAGGGCTATGGGAGAGAATCCGTTCCAGGCCTGCCTCCTTGGCTTCTAGATGGCTGTCTTCATGTTCATGTGGTGTTCTCCCTATGTGAGAGTCTTGTCTCCAAATTTCCCTTTTTTTCTAAAGACGCCAGTCAGATTGGATTAGGGCCCACCCTAATGACCTCATTTTAATTTGATTGCGTGTAAAAAGACCCTATCTCCAAATAAGGTCACAGCCTGAGGTACCGGGAGTACCTCATATGAATATGAATTTTCAAGGGACATGGGAATTCAACATATTAATTATATGAATATTCAAGAGACATAGTTCAACCCATAACAGTGAACCTTGACCATCACTTTTACTTAATTAATTAATTTATTTATTTTATACGTATGTATGTATGTATGTATGTATGTATGTATGTATGTATTTGTTTATTTTATGGGACATTGGTTGACAAAATCAGTTTCAGCTGTACATTTTAACAGTAAGGAATATATATATTTACATTGTGTGTAATTTATTTATTTTTATGGTGACATTGGTTAATGAAATCCAATAAGTTTTAGCTGTGCGTTTTAACAGTAAGGCATATATATATTTACATTGTGTGTTCACCTCTCATAGTTAGATTTCTTTCTGTCACCACATTTTGGTTGGACCCCTTTCACTTCATCACCTCCTCCCTCCCCACTTCCCCCTACCCCTCTGGTAACCACTAGTGTATTGTCCATGTCCATGAGTCTCCGTTTGTTTGTCCTGTTTGTCTGTTGCTTTTAGGTTTATATCCCACTTATAAGTGATATTATGTGATTTTCAACCTTTTCTGTCTGGCTTATTTCACTTAGCATGATGATCTCGAGGTCCATCCGTGTTGTTGCAAATGGCAATATTTCATCTCTTCTTATGGCGGAGTAATATTCCATTGTATATATGTACCACAGCTTTTTTTTTTATCTAATCATTTATTGTAGGACACTTCGGTCACTTCCATGTCCGGGCCACCATGAATAAGACCATCACTTTTTTAAAACAAAGTAGAATAGATTAGAAAATACCAGAATACACACATAAAATAAAGGATAAGTAGTGTCTAATGAAGGTTGTTTCAGTTTTATATATGTTTCTGAGTTCTAGGTCTTGATGTGAAAGATACTTTTTAGTGCAGGTTGTGATTTTTTTAAAAGCATCATTTGGATGTTAGTAACCATCACAAAACACTTTGCATTTATTTTAAATTATTTTATGGATACATCCTTCTTGTCTGACAAGAACATAAGATCTTGGAGGGTGGGGACACATATCATTCTGTAAACACTGCTGTGTAGCTAGAAAAGACAACATTCATTCTTGCTAGTAAATAGTAGGACTACCATCTACTGAGTGTTTACTATGCACCTGGCTCAAGGCTAAATGTTTTACATACACTCTCTTATGTAAGGACTAAACTTAGTGATGGATTGATGGCAGGAGCTCAGTACATTTCACAGACAAGATGAGTAAATGCTATATTCAGGAGCACTGGGCAGCAGGCTGGGATTTGTGGAGGATTAAGGGATAGAAGAAAAAGGTAACAGAAGTGTGGGGAGCCAGCTCTTTGACATTGTCCCCAGATTTCCATTCACCTTGATATCAACTCACAACTTAGATTAGAGGAAACAGAGGCCCTCAGTTGGAAACTCCCCAGTTACCTGCTCCCTACCAACAGACATATTCATCAGCACCTACACCCCGGCTCAGGCCCAGAGGAGAGGGTTTCTGTGTCCTTGCCCAAGATATATTTTTGCACCTGTGCTCAAGGTTCTTCCCTTCTGCTTCTCCAGGCACTGTTCCATTCATTGCCCCTAGATCCTCCAACTCTCCAACCTCTCATTCTCTATTACAGCTCTTTACTCTCTGCATATAAACATGTTTAAATCCTTCCCGCCCTTAAAAAAGGAAAATCAAACCAATAGTAAGCAAACAAAACCAATCCTCTCAGAATCTATGTCCAGTTAATTCAATAAAAATTTGTTGGGTGCCTGTTCTCAGGTTCTTAAGGCCCAGAGGGGAAATCCAAGTAGTTAACAATGATACTACAGGATACTCAGGGCTGTGATTCCAGTGAAGCACAGGGTGCCATGGGAGCATATAGAAGGTGGACCTAAACTAGATAGAGGATAGGGGAAATCAGGGAGGCCTTCCTGGAGGAAGTAATGCCTGAACAGAATCTTGAAGGAAAAATATGAATTATTTAGGCAAAGAACAGAGAAGAGTTAAACCAGGAAGAGGATCTAGCATGTGTAAAAGCATAGATACTAAGGGAGCATGGCACCTTTTAGAAACAGGTAATATTTGGCAATGGGGAGCATTAGAGGATTTAGGGCAGGTGAATAATATGATGAGATTTAGTAGAGAGACCACCCTAGTTGCAGTGTGGAGGATGGATTTAAAGTATAAGTCTAGAAGCACAAAAGATCCTGAACTGCCAAAGCCATCCTGAGAAAAAAGAATGAGGCTGGAGGCAT